AAACCTGACAGAGAACAGCTAATAAGAGTCTAAGCCATGATTTGTGGTCAGTAGGCACACAGTGTGGGAGATGAGGGAAGGGACAGTTCCACTCCTTCCCTCAGATCCTGACTCATGAGTTTAAAGCAATCAGAAGCAAACATTTCTCAACAGAAAACACATTCACTATATATATATAAAACCAAAGTTACTGCCGTTGAGTCGGTCCTGACTCATAGCGACCCCTCCTTGGGTTTCCGAGGCAATATCCCTATGTAAGTAGATTGCCCTATCTTCCTTTCGAGGAGAGGCTGGTGGGTTTGAACTGCCAGCCTTCTGGTTAGCAGTCAAATGCCTCAGGCACTATGCCACCAGAGCTCCTCTGCCAGTCCCTGATACCTTCAGTATTCTTCACCAATACCATAATTCAAATGCATCAATTATTCTCCAGTCTTCCTTATCCATTGTCCAGCTTTCACACTCATATGTGGCTATTGAAAGACCATGGCTTTGACCAGGTGCACCATAGTCTTCAAAGTGATATCTTTGCTCTTTAATGCTTTAAAGAGGTCTTTTGCAACAGATTTGCCCATGCAATAAGTCATTTGATTTCTTGATAGCTGCTTCCATAGGCATTGATTATAGATCCAAGTAAAATGAAATCCTTGACACCTTCAGTCTTTTCTGCACAAACATAGCTACATAGCTATCTTAAATATGTTTTCAAATCCCGTATAAGACCATTACATAGTGAACTCCAAGTATAATAGTTAACTTGCATTTTTTTTAACTCATCTTTTTGCTGTTTAGTCTTTTTGTTATATTTACAGAAATTCTTCTCTCTTTGCTTTTTAATAGTATCCAAATAATCTTCTCCCTGTCACTCAAAATCCCAGTGCTGCTTTTGGCTGTTTATGCTGTAAAAACATGAAATTAACACATCAGGTAAATTTCACACTTCCCCTTCCTGAGCAGATTGATGTAAATCAAATTTCACATTAATCAGACAAAGCATTGTACATCTTCTATCCTGTGGAAATTTGCGATCTTCACTCACATCAGTAAAGTGTTGTAAGGTTTTTTTGTTTGTTTGTTTGCCTTGCTACCTGATTTATTATTATTATTTCTCCAAAAATTTTTATTCAAGATTAGTCAATCTTGTATTAGATACTTGTTTCCATTAAGGTAAAATACATAAATATTTATTGTTGCTGTTGTTAGGTGCCATTGAGTTGATTGCAACTCTTAACGCCTCTCTGTACAACAGAAACAAACATTGCCTGTTCTGCGTCATTCTCACAGTCATTGCTGTGTTTGAGCCCATTGTTGAAACCACTGTGTCAATCTATTTCATTGAGGGTCTTCCTTCTTCTCACTGACACTCTGCTTTACCAAACATGATATCCTTCTCCAGGGACTGATCCCTCCTGATAACATATCCAAAGTACATGAGACAAAGTCTTGCCCTCCTCCCTTCCAAGGAGTGTTCTGAATGTACTTTTTTCTGAGATAGATTTGTTTATTACTTTCTGAATTGTACTTTTGTTACAAAAACCATCAGTCAGTCAATCATCAAGTATTTATTGAGGATTATGATCAGTTCATTAGAAGGAAGCAATTAAATACAGTAAAATATGCTATTGGCATAGTTGCTATTAGTGCTCGTTCATTTTCTCAATTGGATCTACTCTTATCTCCATTGGTTGTTTCATCCAATTCCTCTGCCATAGGTTAAATTCTATGACTCTTGAGGAGTCCTTTTTCAAAATAAGAGTTTTAACCCCTTTCCCTCCACCCTGTTTTTTTTTTTTTTTTTTTTTTAAGAAATAGAATAGAAATTGTCAGAGTGCCTCTTGTAGTAAGGGTAAATATTGTTTGGTTGAGTTTTTGTTTCAGTTATGTATGCTTTTGTTTTATACACGCATGCAAACTTGTATATTGAATCACAGTATACTATATTTTTTTCTTACTGGAAGTGACAGTAAAAAAAAGGTTTAAAAGCCCTTAAGCATTTAAGAACTGTAAAAATGTTCTTTTGGTTTACAGACTTAAGTACTATATGGTTTTCTTGAGATGACCCCAAGAGACCCTGAGGAGAGTTAAGCATTCTATGTTTAACAGAAGTAGATATGCAGTGTTAGAGAGAACTTCTTCAAGTCAACCTTTATAAGATAAAGCCAAGAAGGCATCTGAGCAATATTAGATTTTAAACCTCAAAAATGATCTCTCATGCCATATAATTAGTTTCAAGCTCTATAGCTCACTTCTTTAGTAATCTACTTCTAGATCTGAGACCTCTGTGCTTGAACTCTGCCACCTGTATATCAATGGAGATTCCCACTGGGGAAGGGAATGTGGTCAGCCGTGACTCCTTTCCCACCTCCACTCAGTCATGTGCTCTAATGTTCATAAACTTTCTAGGAATCAAAGAGCATCTTCTTCTGGAAGAAACTGAACCAAACCTCTAACATAGTATGAGTTCTATGAAAGCAAGTGCCCTGTCTTTGCCTTTCACGCTTTTCTATCTTAGTAAGTATCTTCACAAGGCAGCCAGCCATTCAGTATGATAATGAGCCCTTCTCTTTTGAGATCTTCTCCCTGACCAAGTCTTTTTTTCACAAGGTCAACTCTCCTAGTTTGACTTTGACTTTTATAAGTTTTGTAGTTAGTTATTGACAGTTCACTTGTTACGTGGTATACTTTCACTTCTACTTTCTTACACATCTTTGAGTTTCTTAGATTTCCAAGCATTAATACTGAATGTCTCTCCCCAACATCCATTCATTTTTTATAAACCTATTGTTTTTGCTTCTTCCTCTCCAAAAGCTGACAGAAACTATTTTATGGTAATCAAAAATTTAATGTCTTTGTGACATGATAGAACAGAACAGTCTTTCTTCTGAAGTAATGTTTTAAGTTGTCACAGCCTTCTATGAGGAGAAGCTTTGCTTTGGGGAATTTATAGTGATTCTATTTAGCTTAATGTAAAAGGATGAGCTAAGATGGGGCATTTCTGAGACTCATTTGGACTTCTGTTTCATTTATATCATCATTTGTATCATGAATTAACAAACTGCAAATGATTCTTAATTTTAATGGAAGTGTTTTGTTGCTTAGAAAACAACAAGTGGCCACTGAATATTACCGGAAGCAAGTTCTACGACACTACTTCGCAGAATGGCAGCATTGGCATTGTGTAGAGATCCGAAAGAGAGAGCTGGCTCTAACAAAGGAAGAAACCAGGAAGAAAATGGACGCGGTGCTGAAGGCAGCATCACTAGGGAAACTAAGTGCAAATGAGTCTTCAGGCACAAGTACTCCACTTGAGAAGGCAACAGCCACTGTGGAACCATCCACAAGAGATGGAGAGGTACCTGTTTTCCCTCTACTTGGTCTTCCTGCTTATTAAACATTTGCATTGGCATGTTGCATTTTTATAGTCTAGGGTATGATAGAGGGTCTCAGATTGCCTTGCCTAGGCTATCTAAAAGATTAGAGCTGCTGCAGGGCACAGAAGGTACCTTTCAGGCAGGTTATTTTCTTGAAATGAATCTCTTTCTATAATTGCATATAAACTTCATTGAAACCGGGTAGAGACATAATATACAAAGAGAATTTAAAACAATCTAAGTGAAAGACCCTTCAGGAACAGATAGATAAAGCATTGTTTACAATTCTTGAACTCATCATATTCGATCTGTGGACATTTCCTTTCTAAATGAGTTTGTGACTTACAAGATGGCAATTTTTTAAATTTTCTTTTTCTAATAAGAAAAATCATATAAATTGTGGCAATTTGATAGGAGAAAATCATAGACAAAAAGAGTTTATAATTCCATCACCCTGGAGATAACCACCATTAAGATGCTGATGTACAGCCAGCTAGTCTCTTCTCTATTCAGAAATATGCAAATTTGTTTCTTTTAATATTTTATGTTAACTTTTAGATTTTCTTCAGGCAGGTCATTGAGGATAGCTGTTGTTGTTGTTGTTGTTATGTGCCGTCGAGTCAGCCCTGACTCATAGCAACCCCTCCTTGGGTTTCCGAGGCAGTATCACTACGGAAGTAGGATTGCCCAACCTTCCTTCCGAGGAGTGGCTGATGGGTTTGAACCGCCAGCCATCTGGTGAGCAGTCAAGTGCCTTAGCCACTATGCTACCAGAGCTCCCTGAGGATAGCTAGTCTGCCATAATGTAGGGAAAGGGAAGCTATGATTTTTTTCTTCTTAATAGTAATGTAATTATTCTCTTTTTCTTTTTTTTTTTTGCATTTTCATGGTATGTTGTTATTGTTGTTGTTATGTGCCCTCGAGTCAGACCTGACTCATAGCGCCCCTCCTTGGGTTTCCGAGGCAGTATCACTATGGAAGTAGATTGCCCCATCTTCCTTCTGAGGAATGGCTGGTGGGTTTGAACTGCTAGCCTTCTGGTTAGCAGTCAAGTGCTTTAGGCATTGTTGTTGTTGTTGTTGTTATGTGCTGTTGAGTCGGACCCGATCATAGCGACCCCTCCTTGGGTTTCCAAGGCAGTATCACTACAGAAGTATATTGCCCCATCTTCCTTCCGAGGAGTGGCTGGTGGGTTTGAACTGCCAGCCTTCTGGTTAGCAGTCAAGTGCCTTAGGCACTATGCTACCAGAGGTATAGATAGCATGAGCATTTTCTATTTCACTAATTATCTGTCTGCAGCAATAATTCTCAACTGGGAGTATAAACAGAATCAGACCTAGTAAATCAGAATTTCTGAGTGTGGGGCACATGTATTTTTTTTTCTTAGAAGTCTACAGAAGAACCTGATTAAGGACTGTCATTCTGTGCCATCATTTTTTAAGGGCTGTGATTTTTATCATGAACCACAGGCTAGAATCTATTTAACTCCTTCTCTGTTGATGAACATTTAGTTGTTGCCAGTTTGCCACTGCAGTAAATAGTGCTTCGACAAACATCCTTGTACTTAAATCTTTGCACACATTCATGATGCTTCATTTAGGATAAATACCAAACTGTAAAATGTACATTTTTTAAAGACCATTACCAAATTGTACCAAACAAGTTGTACCAAAACAAATGCCTGCTTTCCTGCATAATAGCGTATTTTTTATCTTTGCCTAAGTTGACAGGTGGGAGCTCTGGTAGCATAGTGGCTAAAGCACTTGACTGCTAACCAGGAGGCTGGCTGTTCAAACCCACCAGCCACTCCTCGGAAGGAAGGTTGGGCAATCCTACTTCCGTAGTGATACTGCCTCGGAAACCCGAGGAGGGGTCGCTATGAGTCAGGGCTGACTCGAAGGCACATAACAACAACAACAACAACAAGTTGACAGGTAAAATATTTTTCATGTAGTTATTTGCATTTCTTTGATTACATTGAGGTTAAACATTTTTTTGTTAGTCATTTAAATAGCTAGATATAGCTGTGGATACAGAGTGACTTGTTTTTTCATATCCTTTGCCCGTTTTTCTAGTTGATTATATTTTTCTTATAGGAGCTTTTTGTATTTTTAAGATTATTGATGCTTTGATTATTGTATATGTTGCAAATATTTTTTTCCAATTTGTTATTTGTCTTTTTGGTTTATTTATGGTGTTTGATTTTATACACAGTTAACTTTTTCAAGAGTTAGTTTTTGCTTTCAAAGTAGCACTTACTGTCATATTTAGAAGCCCTTTTTGAAAGAATTACTTCCCTCTTTTTGCTTACTCCCCAACCCCCTCTACAGAATACTGTTAAATACTTCAATCAGACTTGTAATTTGGTTGGGCACTGGAGGGTCCCAGCCTTGCTTTTTACCCTGATTACTGTTAGCAAAATAGGCTGATTGTAATTTAAGTTTAGTGTCTCAGCAAATAGAGGATCATGAAGATACTTATTTGGACTTATATAATAGTTTTGGTCCCTTCTCTTAGGCAATTTATCATCCTTAATGTCAGTTAGATAATTTTGTCTCCAGAGATCCAGGGGCATCTTCTGTCTTAAGAAATAGCTGTGTGGAACATTTTAGCTTACAAAGTTCCACTGTTACTATTTTTCAAAGGGAAAAAAAAATCAGCTGAAAGTACTTTTTACTTATTTAAAACAAAATAATTGTGTGTGTGCTTGCTCTGTGTGTGTGTATAAATCGTGTGTATATATATATATATACGATTTAAGAAAATAACCCTACAGGTCTCTGAAATCGAGAACAAAAAATTTTATCAAGAAAGAATAATGTTGAAAAAAGTGGAGTAAATGAAAATGAAGGGCTATAATAGACTTTGTGGATTACTAGATAAATCTTTTCTAGAGTGTAGAGTATAACATGAACAAATGAAAATATAAAATCTTTAGTTAGATGATCATTAATTACATATTCGTAGGAACTCATGTCCCAGGAACACATATATTATACTTGAAATTTTTCAAAATTATCAGTTAGCTAATAGGTGATTTTCTCTAATTAGGCCAGACTGTTCAGTCCTGTTCTATTAAGCACAATTTGTACCATTAAGCTTTTCTTTTATTCTCTTATTTTTACCTTTAAAAGTTAGCATGATCCAAAAGAAATCTTGTTGCTGTACTCAAGGCTTTTACTAAGTCTTGCTGGGGAAATAACATGTCATTACCACAAAGTTTAAAAGAGCCTAAAATATATGTCCTGCTTCATTCTAAATTACTTAAGCAGGTATTCTCATGAATAAATGTCCACTGACATTTCTGAAATAAAAGGTTATTTTAAAAGTCTTTAATCATGTCAGAATTTCCATATATCATATCCTTTCACTTTAGCTGAGCCTTTAGAAAGCATTTCCATCATCATGAAAGATACTTTTAAGTACCTGAGTATTGTATCCTATTAGGGCTATTCAGAGACAGTTAGAAGCTTTTTAAAATTAGGTAATTCAGAATATTTTTTTTCTTATTTTTTTTCTTTATACTACTGCAGATGACAGAATCAAAACTGATCAGACCTTAGACCATGGAATCAAACCATTCTGAAAGAGACATTTTAACTCTGACTTTTTTTTTGGCCAGGATAAGTTTTCTGAGTAAGAATTTATTTTCCTTCTCCTCGCTATAGAACTTGTATTGAGTATGATACCTCAATTTATTAAGTGAGATTTATATGATAAAGCTTTTGAAAACTATTAAGTAGAATGTCAGTGCAAAATATTACTGTTCTTGTTGTTAGGTGTCATCAAGTCTGTTCTGACTCATAGCGACCCGATGTGCAGTAGAATAAAACACTACCCAGTCCTGCACCATTCTCACAATCCTTGCTGTGTTCCAGCCTGATGTTGCAGCCACTGTGTCAGTCCATCTCATTGAGGGTCTTTCTCTTTTTTACTGACTCTCTGCTCTACCAAGCATGAGGTCCTTCTCCAGGGACTGGTCCCTCCTGATAACACATCCAAAATACATGAAGTAAAGTCCAAGACAGATTTGTTCATTCTTCTGGTAGTCCATGGTATTCAGTGTTCTTCACCAGCACCATAATTCAAAGGCATCAGTTTTTCTTTGGTCTTCCTTATTCACTGTCCAGCTTCTGTATGCATATGAGATAATTAAAAATACCATGGCTTGGGTCAGGTATGCCTCAGTCTTCACAGTGACATCCTTGCTTTTTTAACAATTTAAAGAGGTCTTTTGAAGCAGATTTGCCTAAAAAACAAAACAAAACAAAAACCGAACTCGCTGCTGTTGAGTTGATTTGACTCATAGCAACCCCTCCTTGGGTTTGCAAGGTGATATCTCTGTGGAAGTGGATTGCCCAGTCTTTCTTCCAAGGAGTGGCTGGTGGGTTTAAACCACCAGCCTTCTGGTTAGCAGTTGAATGCCTTAGGCACTACACTCTAAGAGCTCCCAAATTTTCCCAATGCAATATAAAATATTATTAGGGGACATTATTATGTAATACAGATATTTACTCAGTGATCTTGGGCTTGCAGTTATTTCCCACAAATAACTCAGGAATAGCTGTAGACTAAAAACTAGGCTTTAATCCTGGAATAAATCAATCCCCTGGAAAAAAAGAAGTGACTAATTGTCTAGTGGCAAGAGAGGTATTGAAAGAACAGAATTATTAATTGATTTGTTAAAGTAGTCCTTAGTTTTCAAAGGATAGAATACATGTATCCTTAGCCACAAATTTTCCAATTATCTGTAGAATTCAGAGTCAAATCATGTACATAAAATTTCTGTATTCTGTATCTAGAATAATCTTGCTTAATTTACAAGTGAACTCTCCAAATTAGAAATTTATAAGCGCACATTTTCCTGATTGCAGATGTCCTGGCCCATTGGGATGTTTGGTATAGGTGTAGCCACACTCCTACCCAGCTTCCAATGTGACTCTCAAAGCTAAGATTGGCAGCCTCTGAAATGGCCAGGCCAGGCACACAGACCAGCTCTGGCTAGGGTACAGGGCATTTGTGCCACTAAGCAGAACAATGCTACCTGGATGAACATAGGATCTCATTAGCACGATTCTTTAAATAGCTGAGATGTATGACGTGTTTCTTCTCCCTCAGGTGACTGCTGAGTCCCCCTTGTGGGAAAAGCCTCCTTTGGAGAGCAGTGGTTGTATGCTGAGTCTGCCTCTAGGAAGACCAACAAAGAGTACCTTTCAGGTTCCCCTTCAGAATGTCCCTCTAAACACGCCTGACAATAAGCAGCCCAAGACTGTGGACCCTGAGCCCTCCCAACAGCCTGGCAGCAATGAGAAGCTCAGAACCACCAACCAAAAAGCAGAGCCCATTTGCTTGGGCCATTTCCACACCCGCCACATCTTCCAGCAGCAGCTGATTGAGAAGCAAAAGAAGAAACTTCAGGAACAGCAGAAAATAATTCTCGAGCTGAAGGAAAACCAGCGGCTGGCAGAGGCTCGGTGGGCAGAGGAGCGTGCCGCAGCAGTCACAGGCACACAGAGCCGCAGCCTGTCAAATCCCACAGAAGAGGAGGAACTGAAAAGAACATGTCAGATGTTTCTTAAGTATGTCCATTGTATCAGAATACAATTTGGACTGGTTATTTGGGGTCTCTTCTATGGGGCAAGAGGCTCCTGAACTTCTTTGCCCTGTTTCCAACCTCCATGATCTTTTCTTTTCTTTTATTCTGCACTCTCAAAGCAAAGAAGCCCTGTACATTGTGATTGATTTGTGACAGATATAAACAGGTATTTAAAGCAAGTGGCTGCTTAGGATGTTCCAGTTGTACAGTTAGAGAAAGGTCACAGTTACCTTTATCTGAGGAGCTCTGTTACTAAAACAGTAAAAGAGAAAAATTATTACTTACTCTAGCTAGTTTTCTGACTGTACGTAGTACTGAGAAGCCAGTTGAGACATTAGGTCCAAATGGAGCCACCTCTGGGCTGGCTAATTACCTAGCTTACATTTGTAGTTGTTTGGTTTAAAGCCTAATATCACTTGCTTTTGGGGCCTGGAATAAGATTCTCAATTTCTCAAAAGCTATTTAGAATGTTTCAGATGTGCTTGAGACAAACAGTATGTATGATAAATGGTAGGATAAGAAGTGGTTGTATCTATTGATTTGAAGCACTAGGATGAGAGTCAGAGGCCTGACTCATGTTGTAGGCTCAGGCCAATTACTCAACTTTTCCCACCTCATCACACCCATTTATCCAGTGGAAATAATAATAATTAGTTAGCTCAGAGAGTACGGTTTAATTAAAGTTTGTAAAATTCTTGGAGATTGTCAGGTGAAAGGATTTGAAGGAAGCTGGTTATTGATCTGAATTCTTTTTCTTTTTTTTTCCCTCAGTTCACCTGCTGCTTCACCTGGGACTGAGGGCAGTAGAAGTGACTCCCAAAATTCTGTTTCTGGACCCAGAAGGAGCCCAAGGCAGCCGATGGCCCCCCATCCCATACTGAAAGGCAGGGTTGTCTTGGTGATAGTTTGGGTGGTGGTCTTCTCCTTTCCTACAGTAGAACATGCAGGGACTGAAGTTTCACAACTCCCAGGTTTTGAGAGTCAATTTTAAAAATCCATGTTAAAATTTCTGTATTCCATATCTGGAGTAATCTTGCCTAATTCACAAATGAACTCTCTAAATTGGAAATTTATAAGGGCACATTTTCCTTATGCATATACCTTGGCCCAAGAGGCTAGTTTGTATAGGTATAGCCACACTCCCACCCAGCTTCTGTTGTGAATAGAAGTACCTTCTAAGAGTGGTCAGAGTCTGAGGGGTAGACACAGCAGTAGTAGAATGTACCAGAAAGTGCCATTACTTTTTTTCTGCCCCTCTACAAACCTTTATGCCCTTTTTAGGCAGCACACATACAAAAATTACTGAAAAGTATATTATATTTCTATAATTTGGAATTGGATTGTGGGGGAAAAAAAAGATGAGACAATTATACAAAAGAGAAAAGTGAGGTCCTGCTAAGGATAAGCTTTGATAAAGATTACCTGTCATTTGATAACATTAATATATTTATCAGTTCACGGCAATTCAAGTTAAGGTATTATTATATCATTTGATAATGAGTTATACCTTTATGATAGACTTTTACTAATGAAATCTAGAAGGCAAACATTTTGATTTGATAATATTTTTCATGCACATGTTGTTGTTGTTGTTTGCCGTCGAGTTGAACCCAACTCATAGCAACCCCTCGTTTGGTTTCTGAGGCAGTATCACTATGGAAGTAGATTGCCCAACCTTCCTTCTGAGGAGTGGCTGGTGGGTTTGAACCTCCAGTCTTCTGGTTAGCAGTCAAGTGCCTTAGGCACTATGCTACCAAAACCATATTTAAACAAAAATAGAAATGTGAGAAGCATTCTTCAAAACCCACCTAGTAAATCTGTTAAATGTTCTTACTCAGTACTTAGTCACTCACTGTATATATATTTGTCTATATGGTGTCATGGTGCCTAAGGCATTTGACTGCTAACCAGAAGGTTCACACCTACCAGCCACTCCTCAGAAGGAAGACTAGGAAATCTATTTCTGTAGAGATACCACCTCGGAACCCAAGCAGGTGTCGCTATGAGTTGCAATCAATTTGATGGGAGTCAGTTTAGTTTTGGTTTCTTTGGTATATTAGTAGGCACTTTGAAGATTATATTGTGATTTGTAAACCTGTACCTTTTCAACTGTGGCAGAATTGTTGCTCTGAAGAACACTGTGCCTGCAGTCAACCCCTATTAAAAAAGAAATTGACAGTCTTTGCATTGGCAGCAGTTCACGCTGCCTTTGCCGACCCTAAGGCTGATCAGGAAATGCCCAGTTCAGTGTGATAGTCTGAAAAAAAATTTTTTTCTTCTACTTGATCAAAGAGTTAGCACATTTTAGATTTTCAAGCTACTTTTCAAGTAGCCTTTAATGAGTAGCTCTAAAAAGTAGGGAAGGGACATATACAGAGCCTCTGCTTTTCAAGGGTGTCTCCCTTTGATCTTGTGAGCTTTTTCTTCCTTTTAAAAGATGTTCTTGCACCCGCCATTTCTGGCACCACCATTACACTTTTTGCAATGAAGCATGTCCTTGTGTCTGTAAAAAATAATAGTCTGGTGTGTTTTTTATTTATTCATTCTTCAAATTGGAACTTGAATTTTCTTTTCTTTAACATGGCACAAAGAACTGAGAGTAACTATTGGCTGATTTAGGGAAGCAGAACTCTGCTACCCCTCCCACCCATGCTCCCCTTCCTGTGTAAGCCCCAAGTGATTACAGAGTCATATTATCAGACCATCTTGCACATTTGCTTCTTTTGGATGGATATTTAGTAGACTGTCAAGAACACAAGTCTGACACTCAAATTCGTTCTGATGCCAGTACTCCAAATGCCTGGTACAGTTCCATTTCCTGCCCATCTGGATATCCACCCCTGAAAACTAGATTAAAATGTATTCATCGTGACCCCAAACTTCAGTTTGTTTGTTGTTGTTGTTACATATACAGACATATGTACAGAGTCTTAAGGAAAATTAGCAGACTCACTTAATGGGATATGAAGAATGATTCTATTCTCAAAGTATTTGTTAGCTATAATTAAAGTTTCTGCACATCAAAGGATTGTCAAATTAAAATTCTGATTTCTGAGTGTAGGTAACAAAAGCCTATCATCAAGCCTATCATCCTATTTAAAGCAGTAAACAGTTATCAGGGTGGAAGTGGGAAGAGACCTGTTACATTATGAGGATTGTAGTCAATATCGTGAAACAAAATGTATATGAACTATTGTATGGAAAATGAATTTGCTCTATAAACTTTTACTCAAATCACAAGACTAAATAAATAAATGGAAAGGGCAGTAAATAGGTATCCTAGTAGAAATGGAAACAAAAACAATCTGCAAATTGTTCATCACTGCTGAGGTTGGAATTGTAGGTCTTTAATCTAGAGTGTGCAGTTAAATGCATAATACATATATATTTTTGGGTTCATGAAATAACTTAAAAGAAAGCCCTAATAATAACACTAACTTTTGCTTATGAAATGGAGACATTTCTTTTGAAGTGTTCTTCATATTTTTTATATTGGAACTCTTTTACTATTTTCTAGCCATGGAAGAGAGAGCAATTCAGCGAGCTGAACGTAGGCGGATCTTGGCAGAGAGGAAGAAAAAACAAGAAGAAGAGAAATTGGTAATAAATACAGAATGCAAACTGAGGCAAGAAAAAGGACTTGTATAGGTCTTTATTGAAAAATGATTTCAATGAACTTGCTTGTTCAAGCCTCTTGAGACAATAGAGTAAACCAACTTGGGAAACAGTCTTTTGCCTACTGGCATGAACTTTGTGACAATATTAGGAGAAAAAAGGAAGAAAACATCAATATCATTAGTGTAGCAGAAAGAATATTACAAAAATTGATGGGAGCTAGCAGATTGGGACATTGTCACGTAACCAAGACTAGAAAGTTATGGGTAGATGACCACTCTGATAAGTGTGCAAGGGGAAATAGTTCTTATTGCAAAGGGGAATGTTTCTTATTTTCCAAAGTTTTGACCCAAGCTGCCAGAAGTAAATGATAACTAAATGAACAATTCCAAGAGTAGCTTTTTGGTGAAATGAAGAAAAACTTTTTTTTTTTTTCTCTTTTTAAATTTCACTGTTGAAATTAAGAAGGGAAAAATAATCATTTTATGCTGAAAAATTATCTTATTCATCCTCAGTCTCACCTTCCCAAATAGAAAATTGTTCTTTTGCAGAAATCTTTAAATTTCACAACTATCCACACGTTAGTCAGGTTTTCTAATTTTATCACAAAGTGCAGACTTCTCCCAGAGATGGGGCAGCTGCTGTGTGTACATACCTGACTTTCCCCAACATAAAAGATCTTATTTCCATACAAATTGAGAGCTCTGATTTTTACACATTCTATTCTTTATCAGGCCCAGTTAAAGGCCCAAGAGGAGGAGCATCAGAAGAGGGAAGCAGAAGAAAAGGAGGCTCAGCTTGAAAGAAAACGAGAAGAAAAGAGACTGAAGAAAATGGTTAGTCTGTTTGGTCAGTTAACTCAGGCCTAGTGTGTGATACTCTGGGCCTGTGCACCTGTCCCACCCCAGAACTCTCTGGGACACTCTTCTCATCTTTGCTTTCTTTTTCTGCCTCGTCTTCAGATCTTATCTCATTTCTCAAGATTAGTCTTTCCTGCTCAGCCCCAGCATCCTGCCCACCCAATGTTAGGTTAGGTCCCACCTTATAAACTCTCATAAAGTTATCTTTCCCTTCAGATCATTACCAGTACTTGTAATTACACATGTATTTTGTGGTTGTTCTATTAATTTCTGACTCCCTAACTAAACTGTAATCTCTGTAAGAACAAAAGGACCACTTTGGTGTTGCTTATTATTATATCTGGTAGCAGTGTGTCTAGTATGTTGTGGGATTCAGCAAATATGAATGAATTCATTCATTGAATGAATGAATAAGTGAATGAACAAGTGGAAGAAAACACAAAGAAGTAAAAAGAGATAAAGCTCTTACTCTGAAGATTATTAAATTCTAATTGGGGAGATGGGACAGCCCCCAGGTGGCAGGGAGCAGTGGCAAGGAGTAGCGGTAGACAGGCCAAGCAAGAACAGGCAAGGGAAAGCCCAGGAAGTGAGCAGAGCAGTTGGAACAGCTAAGGGAGACAAACTTGTCTGTCAGTTTGTCATACTGTGGTGGCAAGCATGTTGTGATGAGGCTGAAGGTTGTGCCAGTAGGGATGCCCATGGTGGACCGGTTTTGGTGGAACTTCCAGACTGAGACAGACTCAGAAGAAGGAAGAGGCCATCCACTTCTCAAAGAATTAGCCAGTGAAAATGTTAACAGTAGTGAAACACTGTCTGAAATATTACTGGAAAATTTTATGAATAAACCTGAAACATTGGCCGATACAGTGTTGGAAGATGAGCCCCTTAGGTAGGAGGCACTCAAAATATGACTGGGAAAGAGCTGCCTCTTCAGAGTAGAGCCTACCTTAATGACATGGATAAAGAACATCCATTGATAATCGGAACATGGAATGTATGAAGTATGGATCTAGGAAAATTGGAAGTTGTCAAAAATGCAATGCAATGCATAAAGATTGATATCCTAGGCATTAGTGAGCTGAAATGGACCAGTTTGGGCCATTTTGAATCAGACAACCATATGATCTACTATGCCAGGAATGACAATTTGAAAGGAATGGTGTGGCATTCATCATCACAAAGGATGTTTCAAGATCTGTCCTGAAGTACAATGCTGTCAGTGATAGAATAATATCCATACGCCTGCAAGGAAAGCCAGTTAATACTACTGTTATTCAAATTTACACACCAACCACCAAAGCCAAAGATGAGGAAATTGAAGATTTTTATGAACTTCTGCAGTCTGAAATTGACCAAACATGCAATCAAGGTGTGCTGATTATCACTGCTGACTGGAATGGAGAAGTTGGAAACAAAAAGAATCATCAGTAGTTGGAAAAGTTGGCCATGGACATAGAAATAATGCTGGAGATTGCATGATAGAATTTTGCAAGACCAATGACTTATTCATTGCAAATACATTTTCTCAACAACACCAATGGCAGCTATATACATGGACTTCACCAGATGGAGTACACAGGAATTAGATCAACTACATCTGTTACAAGAGGTGATGGAAAAGCTCAATATCTTCAGCCAAAACAAGGCCAAGAGCTGATTGTGGAAAAGACCATCAACTGCTCATTTGCAAGTTCAAGTTGAAGTTGAATACAATTAAAAGAAGTCCATGAAAGCCAAAATATGACCTTGATAATATCCCTCCTGAATTTAGAGACCATCTAAAGAATAGATTTGATGCGTCGAACACCAATGACTGAAAACTAGAGGAATTGTGGGATGACATCAAGAGCATGATCCATGAAGAAAACAAAAAGTCATTAAAAAAGACCAGAAAGGAAGAAAAGACCAAAATGGATGTCAGAAGAGACTCAAACTTGCCCTTGAATGGAGAGTAGCTAAAGCAAATGGAAGAAATGGCAAGATAAAAGAGCTAAGCAGAAGATTTCAAAGAGCAGCTCAAGAAGACAAAGTCATTTGTTATAATGAAATGTGCAAAGACAGAGTTGGAAAGCCAAAAAGGAAGAACACACTCAGCATTTCTCAAGCTGAGAGAACTGAAGAAATATTTAAGACTCAAGTTGCAACATTGGAAGATTCTATGGGCAGTATATAGAATGATGCAGGAAACATCAAAAGAAAATGGAAGGAATACACACAGTCACTGTACCAAAAAGAATTGGTTGGTGTTCATCCATTTCAGGAGGTGGCGTATGATCAAGAACGAGTGGTATTAGAGGAATAAGTTGAAGCTGCACTGAGGGAAGTGGTGAAAAACAAGGCTCCAGGAATTGACAGGATACCCACTGAGATGTTTCACTAGAGGCCTCACTAGAGGCACACACTTAGCTATGCCAGGAGATTTGGAGGACTGTTTCCTGGCCAACTGACTGGAAAAGATCCATATTTGTACACATTCCAAAGAAAGGTGATCCCACAGAATGTGGAAATTATCAAACAATATCATTAATATCTCATGCAAGTAAAATCTTACTGAAGATAATTCAAAAACAGTTATAGCAGTAAATTGATAGAGAAGTTCCAGAATTGCAAGCAGGATTCAGAAGAGGACATGAAACGAGGGATGTCATTGCTGATGTCAGATGGATCGTGGCTGAAAGCAAAGAATACCAGAAAGATGTTTACTTGTGTTCTATTGACTATGCAAAAGCATTTGTGTGGATTATAACAAATTGTGGATAACATTGAGAAGAATAGGAATTCCAGAACACTTAATTGTGTTCATGAGGAACTTGTACATAGACCAGGAGGCTGTTACTCGAACAGAACAAGGGGACACTGCATGGTTTAAAATCAAAAAGGGAGTTTGTCAGGGTTGTATCCTTTCACCATACTTATTCAATCTGTATGCTGAATAAATAGTCCAAGAAACCGGATTGTATGAAGAAGAACATGGCATCAGGATTGGATAAAGGCTCATTATTAACAAGCTATGTTATGCAGATGACACAATTTTGCTCACTGAAAGTGAGGATGACTTGAAACACTGATGAATATTGAAGACTATAGTCTACAGTATGGATTACAACTCAATATAGAGAAAAGAAAAATCCTTACAACTGGACCAATAAAGTGGCATCATGATAAATGGAGAAAAGATTGAAGTTGTCAAAGACTTCGTATTACTTGGTTCTACAATCAACACCAATGGAAGCAGCAGTCAAAATATCAGGCAAATTGGCTGCAAAATACCTCTTTCAAGTGCTGAAGAGCAAAGGTATTTCCTTGAAGACTAAGGTACACTTGAAACAAGCCATGGTATTTTCAGTCGCCTCATATGCATGTGAGAGCTGATAATGAGAAAGGAAGACTGAGGAAGAATTGATACTTTTGAGTTGTGGTGCTGGCAAAGAATGTTGAAAGTACCATGGACTGTGGAAAGAACTAACAAATCTGTCCTGGAAGAACTGCGGCCGGAATGCTCCCTGGAAGCAAGAATGGCCAAACTTCATCTCACCTACTTTGGTCATGTTATCTGAAGGGATCATTCTCTGGAGCAGGATGTCATACTTGGCAAAGTAGAAGGACAACAAAAAAAGGGAAGTCCTTCAACAAGTTGTACTGATACAGTGGCTGCAATGATGGGCTTAGATATAGCAAGGATCGTGGGGCTGGCACAGGACTGGGCAGTATTTTGTTCTACTGTACATGAGGTTACTATGAGTTAGAGATGACTCTGCGGTACCTAAAAACAACAACAATTGGGAAGATAAGGCCAAAAATACACATCTGCCAGAGCTTATGTAGTACACCATATGCTGTCTTCTACTACACAGGCTATTAAAGATCATGAAGGTCATAAAGGCAGGATCCATGAAGATCTTAGAGAAATTAGAGGCATTTTCATAGAACTCTTTCTTTAATGTCCTACCAGGCATTATGACTGTCCAGAAGAGGGACACAGTGTTCTAAATTGTCACATGTATCTGACTACAGGACCTTTTTTTTTAGGAAGCACCAGGTAACATCTCATGGAATAATTTGGGACCATGCTACTGTAAGCCAATGAGACAATTTTTAAAATATAGTGTGTGTGTGTGTGTGTGTGTGTGTGTGTATATATATATATATATATATATAAAGAGAGAGAGAGAATAAAATATAGAGTATAAAAATGTTTTCCTTTCATAGTAAAAATATCTGCTCATTGTAGAAAATTTGTGAAATACAAAAAAGATAGAAAAAATAATCTATGAGTTCAGTACTATGAAGTAAATTCTCTTAATATCTTAGTATATCTACTTCTGGTCTTTTTCTCTTTGCATCTCTCTCTGTCTCTCAATAGTTAAGTAGATAATTTGTGTGTATATAATTGTATAAGAGCCCTAGTGGTACAGTGTGGTTAAGCACTCACCTGCTAACCAAAAGATTGGTGATGTAAACTCACCAACCGCTCCAGGGGAGAAAGATGTAGCAGTCTGCTTCCACAAAGATTTACAGCCTTGAAAATCCTATGGGACAATTCTACTCTGTCCTATAGGGTCTTTATGAGTCAGAATCGACTCAGTAGCAATTTATTTTTTGGTAGGTATGTACTGTTTTTAAGCTGTTTTTTTTTTTCACTTAAGAGTCTATCATGAGTATTTCTACTTGTCATTCAGAATTCTTCAGAACACTTTTTTGTATGTAGAAAGTCATTTTTTAAAAATAAACTTTTTATTTTGGAATACATTAGATGTACAGAAAAGTTACAGAGATAGCTCTTATAGACCCCTCACTCAGTTTCAATTTCCCTTAAATGTTGTATTACTGTGATACATTTGTCAAAACTAAGAAACCAACTTTAATACATTACTATTAACTCCAGGTGTTATTTGGATTTTACTAGATTTCCACAAATGCCCAGGATCCACTTCAGTTGGATCTATGCATTTAGTTGTTAGGTCTCTTTAGTGTCC